GGCAAGGTTTGCTTATGGGCCTCCTAGACGTGGTCGGAGCAGATGGGATCGGAGGATCGCGCCGCATCGCCGATGCATTGCCGATGCGCCTCGATGTGGGGCCCGACTTGCTTCACGTCGGCGTCGCCGATGCATCGCCGATGTATCGGCGATGCGGTGCGATCCTCCGACCCCATCTGCTCCGCCCCCATCCAGGAGGCCTCCATTGTTTTTGAAGGTCCAGCGATAACCCAGACATCAGGCGCCTCGAACAAGCGAGACTGAGGTTTTTCTGTGTTTTCGGCATCTCGGGGTCCGCACTGGGCCTCAGGACCATCAAAAAACGATTCGGGCCCAGGGAAGTGGTCGAGAGGTTGGGGGCCCGTGTCTCGAACAAATGAATCGATCGAGAAGGCGGGTGTCTGGGAGCCTGGGTGATCGGGCCCGCCCGCCCCCCCCTCCCCCCTGGATAGCCTGCCCTCTGTTGGTTGCGCAGGTCCGAGGGGGGTGCGCAGCACGGGTGCGCGCGGGCATCTACGCGGAGCCGCCCATAGCGACAAAAGGTCTGGGGATCGGCCCGCGCCTCTCTTCCCCCCCCTCCAGCCGGATAGCCAGGGCTACCGCCCAACAACACAAGCCGATCTCCAGCAGGGTGTGTCCGAAGAGAGCATTTTTGGACACCGCCGCCGTGCCTGGTGGCCAGGGGCCACCCTCGTGCACGCGTGTGGAGACCCTCCTGGCCTCTGCCGGCAGGAGGGCGCGCGCACGGTGCCAGGATCCAGGGCCGTGCCGCGGTCCAGGGGGGCGCCAGCCGCGGCGGTGGTGTACCCAGACGTAGGCACGGCCCCCCGACCTCTCGACCACTTCCCCGGGGCCAGTGTTTTACCCCTAGCCGTTTTTGTTGACGGCCCCAAGGCCCGGGAGGGGCCCCGAGAGGCCGAGCACGATGTCTGCCCTCCCCCCCCCCCCCGCCTCGATTTTTGCTCAAGACGCCGGGCGTCTGGGTATACGGATGCCTTCTGCGTGAGGCAGCTGGCCCTCCCTGCACCTCCCCCCCGGGGCGCGTGGTGAACTCGGCCGTGGCGACCGCCGCGGGCCCCCCCAGAAGACCCCCACAGGGGCGAGCAGTTTCACGAGGCCCCACAGGGAAGTCTCGGCGATCCTCAGGACATGTCTTAGCCGAGCGTGTGTGTTTTCCTTGCGATCGGCCCTCACTGCATCGACTGCGTCGTTTTGAAGGGCTCCAGTGGACAGGCAAGCGTTGGCGCTAGCACACGCTCTGCGGACCATCGAGAAGCATAGGTGCTGATCGCTGCGTGTGACTGCTCCCTCCCCTCAGATCTGACGTTGCCCCCAAAAATGCAACGGCGCAGAAAATCAAGATTGGAGCCCTGGGCCCCCTCTTGCTGCGTTAACTCCCCGAGCCGCACCGATCGAGCCGTGAGGGCCCCGGGGCCCGAAACGCCGAGCAAAAGCGCCCGATGTGCAGAAGTTGCAACGCCCAGATCTGAGTGTGGCCTTCCAGGAGGGCCCCTCGGAGGCCTCCTGGGGGCCTCTTGGAGGCCTTTTTCTGGGCCTCTTGTGCCCTCTTGGAGGCCTCCTGGGGGGCCTCTTGGGGGCCTCCTCCTGCCCAGCCATCTGGCCGCTCCCATGTTGCTGTTGATGGCGACACGGTGCCTATGCCGTCGACGCCCTCGGCCGAAGGCCGAGAAAGTAGCCGGAGGTGTGGAAGGATCCGGCCACGCAAAAGGTAGCCGGAGTCAAAAAACAAAGCCAGGCAGGGCGACCAGCAGCCGAGGAGAAGACTACTGACTACTGGCCGCCGCACTGGTCCTGGCCTCCGTCTGTGTGCCAGGGAGGAAGAAAGTCCCCCCCCAGAGTCGGATGCGGTGGCCACGCCGCCAACCGCAGTCAGGGATATCAGTTGTCATACTGAAAAGTCATGTAAGGGACACGCTTCGGTGCCAGCGGGAATGAAACTATACAAACCAGCTTTGGGCGAGCCCCCAGAGAAGAGGATGACGACGAGAAGGACCCCCGCAACACGCGGCCCCCCCCTTCCCAGCCGCAACCCTACACGAGCCGCCTCGGCAATGGCGGGTTCCGCGCACCTTATGCCCAGGCTCCCCCCCGGAAGGGAGCCAGCAATCAGGTGTCGGCAGAAATCGCACACCAATGCCATAAGCCGAAGCAGGGCGCAGGGAGGACAAGAAGTGTCAAGGTACCCCGTGCGCAAAGGAGCCCGGCGCGCCGCACGCCCCCTGGGATCCCCAAACCGGAGTCTCAACGGCAGGCCCTCTTCTGGCCACCGGCGACAGGGCAAGACCCCCGTCCGTGCAGGCCCCTGCCCCGCAGTGGAGGCAAGGGCCGTCTCCGGATGCCGCAGAGCGGCTCTGTAGACGCCGCGCAGCGCATGGCCCCGGCCCTCCGGAGGGGCGTAGGGGGGTGGGGCACTGGAGTGCCTGCCCGCGGCCGCTCAGCTTGCGCCGGACAGCCGCACGTCCCAGCTGCCCAGGAGTCCCGCCGCTCCACTGTTTTCGATGCGCGGGCCCTGGCGGCATGGACCACTCCCGTGTAGGGCCGGCTTTTCGTCCTGAGTCGCTTTTGGACGGTCCCGAAGCTTGGCGAAGGCCCCCGGAGGCAGAACACGGCCAGAAACCTGCCGCTCCAGTTTTTTTTTTGGAGCGTCGGATCTCTGGGTGGGAGGGGAAGGAGAAGCGACACCAACACCACCAGGGGACCACCTCCGGCGAGGAGGTCCACGATGCCTCTCCGAGCCAGGAAACAAGGGATGTCCCAAGCGAGAGGGGGGACCACACGGTGGTGTGGTCCCCCCTCTCGCTTGATTCAGGGTCTGATTTTTTTGGATTTTGATTTTGGGTGGGCGCGGGCTTTCCCTTTACCCGCCCCCCCCGCGCGCGGCGTTCCCCACTACTCGCCCTCCCCCGAAACGGCCCCCAGCACTACTCGCCCCACCCCGAAACGGTCCCACGACCAGAACGCGACTAGAATTCTAGTCGCGACAAGACCGCGACTAGAACGCGACTAGAACGCGACTAGAACCACTACTTAACCACTACGATACCACCAAACCCATGCCTTACCAACACCACCAGGGGGCCCGTCCTTGGCTCCTCCCGCTGGTGGTCCCTGGTGGTGTTGGGCGTCGGTTTTCCATGCTCCTAGGGTGGGGGCCTCTTGCTCGGGTGTTGCTAGAGGCGCGCCTGACCCAACTTGGGTCAGTGGAAAGCTGGAGGCACCTTGACTCGAAAGTGCCTCCAGCTTTCCACTCAATCTCGGAGTCCCTGGTGCCCTCCGGGCCTCGTGAGGGGCTCTGGAAGCTGGAAGGGCCGTGGGGGCCTTCTTGGAAATCCTGGGGGCACCTTGGGCCAGGGGCACTTCCGGCAACGCCCGACTTGCACCCAAAGATGCGATGTCGGTCCCCAGAAGTCTCGACCCATTTCCCAGGACCGTGTTTTGACGGTCCCGAGGCCCGGCGAGGACCCTTAGGGGCCGAAATTGGCGAAAAACCTCCGTCTTTGATTTTTGTCAATGCGTTGGATCTCTGGGCAGCGCCCAGATCCTCGACAGGCGGCCACGGCCTGTGCGGCGGCGCCCGCCGCCGCGGCCGCGGCGCCGCGCGCGGGCACGGCGGTGCCCGCGGCTGGGCCAGCGCGGCTCGTGGGCGGCAGGCGCGTTTGCGGGGGCCCGGCCCGGCGAGGCGCCCGCGCCGGCCGCCGCGGTGCCGCAGCGGGCAGCATACCAGGAGGGGAAAATCACACAGACACAATTCATCGTCGATCCCCAGGAAAAGATGGGAAGCTATGGGATGTGGGGGGGGAGACAACACCTCCGAAAGTATTGGGAAATGTGGGGAATCCTGTTATTTGTGTGTGTATTTGTTTGTGTGTCCCAGGGTCCCTTCAGCATAGCCGGCTCAAACATCAAAGGAGGCACCATAGCCTCAGCATTGACATTTTAGACTGACCCACTCGCGGATCCCAAATCGAATGTCTGCATCATTGGCTTCGTTACATGCGTAGCATGCTTTCCCCTCGCTTCCCTCAGATCCTGGCGCTGTAGTTTTTGTCGCAGTGGGCGTTTTCGCTCCATGTCGGGTCCGGGGCCCTCACAGATCGAGCGCGCCCGAAGAATGCCGCAGAAACATAGGGTCCGGGGTTCCGGTCGTGATTTTTGCGATGGTGCGCTTTTTGCAACGTCGGATCCGGCGCTCCGACAAAAAATGGGAGCGGCGGGTTTCTGGCGGCTGGGGCCCCCCGCTGGGCCTCGGGGCCGTCAAAGAATGACGCAGCATCGAGAAAGTTGGAGCGGCCGGATCTCTTGGAGAAATGGAGAAAGCACGGCAGGAGGTTTCTGTTGCGATGTTCGGCCTCCAGGGGGCCTCGCTGGGCCTCGGGGCCGTTAAAATAAGGCTCGGGACGGAACGCTGGTCCCAGGTCGACGTCATGGACAAATCATGACGTCATGAACAAATCATGACGTCAGGGGTCGAGACCGGGGGGGCCGACGCCATGAACAAGGCATGACGCCGTGGGTCCGGATGCGGGGGGATGCGCTCCGGGTCCGAGGCTCGAGGTGCGCAGCCTGCTGGTGTTTCCGTCGGTCCTCGGCGGCCTTCGGGCCTCGGGGCCCGAAGGCCGTCCGTCCGTCCGTCGGGCCTCGGGGCGCTCTCCAGAAGCTGCGCCTCGCCGAGGGCGTTCCTTTGAGGGTGCCCAGCTCGTCCCGGAAGATCGTCCGGGACGGCCGCCGAAGGGCCGGGCTGTGGCCCGAGCGCCACCGGCGACGGGGATGTGGCTCGGGGGGGGTGGACGCGTCGAACCCCCATCGCCTACTCGTCGCCGAGAGGGGCCCGATGGCCCACCCCGCCCAGGACCGTGCGGACTCGCGAGCTGTCGGGGGCCTATCGCCGATCTATCGGCGATGCATCGCCTACCTATTCCAGCTGGCTGTTTCCCCCCCCCCCCGAGCTGGGCTGGCCCCCCCCAAGCGGTGCCCCGCAGGTGTGCACCGCCGCGCAGGCGCGAGGCTGTCTCCGCGCCAGGCCCGTCGGGGGTGGGCCAGGCCCAAACGTCCAGACCTCCGCCGGCTCGGAAACGTCGAGGCGGAGGCTTCTCATAGCCTCCTGCCTCTGCGGGCACCTTCCAGGCCTCGGGGGCCGTCGAAAGACGGCTCGGTGCGCGACACCGGCCCTGGGGAAGTGGTCGAGCGGTCGAGACGTCGGATGTCTGGGGACCTCCAGCGTGCGGAGGGACCCAATGCTGAGGGAAGACTGGCCCTGAGCTCCGGGCGTTGCCTTTCTGTTCCACGCCGTGCGTTTGCGCCCAGCTTCCTGGGCCCCGCGGCCATCACAGATCGATCCGGCTCGACAGCTGCTGCAGAACGACGGTGTCGAGGGTTCCGGTCGTGACGTTCCGCGATGCTGCCATTTTCTCGCAAAGTCGGATTTCAGGGCAGCCTCGCCGGGCCCCAGGAATGACAAGAAGCGACTCACATAAGGAGTTGGCGAGGGGGTCCAGATTTCTCGGGGCCCATCTACCACTCCAGACATCGGATCTCTGGGGAGAGGCCAGGTTCCGCCGAGGCCAGGATGTCTGCACATCCACCGCCCGGGGGGAGCGGTTTCCCTGTGCCTCGGCAGGCGCTGGGTGTGGATGTGCTCGGGCCCCCTTGGGCCCGGACACGTCCATGTCCACTGCCCCCCCTTGGGGTCCTGGGAGTGGATAAGTTCCCCAGGCGCTTGACATGTAGACGCTTTGGCCTCGCAGCTTTCAGCTTCCTGGTGAGGGCCAGGGCGCCCAAGTACAGTCGACCAGACTCACCACGAAAGGCAGACAAGAGCAGCCTGAGTCGGCTGGTTCTCAGTCGCTTGGGTCGTCTTTGCTGCCCTCGCTATGCCATAATCATGCGTGCCGACGGGGGGGATGGCTCTGTCGAGGCCGCCCGAACAGGGCTGGATCAGATGGGGTCTGCGGATCGCGCCGCATCACAGATGCGTCGGCTATGCGACGCGCTCCGGATCACGATTTTCTCCGCTTCGGCATCGTCGATGTAACGGCAGTGCGGGGCGATCCTCCGATCCCACATGCTCAGATGGTTGCGAGATGGGCGAGGGGGAATAGGAGGGGGGGGGGACGAAAAAAGCTGCATGCAGCTGATTTCGTCCCAGTGCCCTGCACGTTCCTCGGTGCGCCATCGCTCTCGAGGCGCTCGGGATGGCAGCTGCGTGTACTGTGTAGGTGATGCGTTCACCCCGAGAGGTGGCCGAGCCAGTCGTGGCGTCGTACGACCCGAGCCGCCTCCGCACGCAGGTGCAGCTCGGGCTCAGCGCCATGCGGGGCGCGCAGCCCAACGCCGTGCGCCAGTCCAAGACCCCGTGCGCCGTCGGCCACGCAAGCGACATCACAGAATTCCTAGCAAACTACATGAACTTGAGAGGTTTGACACTGAGAAGCTGATGACTTGGACCCGATGTCTCTGCAGGCGTGCGCCTCTGCAGCGGGACCGATCCTCCCAGGCCCGGCCGCGCGCCCCGGAAGCAGAGCAGGCCGCCGGCCGCCGAGGTCGCCGGGGGCCCGTCGGGCGGCGCCGCCCGGGCGTGTGCTGCCCGGGGGGGGGCCGTCCGAGCGCTTCCCAGATGGGTCGCGGCGCCGGGCGAGTTTTTCGCCCTCCAGGGCGGGGGCGGTGGGGCGGAGGCCGGCCATTTGCCGGGCCTACGCGCGACCAGATCTCCCGTTCTCTCTCTCTCTCTCTCTCTCTTTCTCTCTCTCTCTCTCTTTCGCTCTTCCTCTCTCTTTTTCTCTCCCTCTCCCTCTCTTTTTTACGTCCTATATATATGTATATATATATATGTAATACGTTCCCCCCTGGGAGCGTCCCCCACCTCCGTGACATCTAGGGGCAACTCCCGGTGCCGCGCCGCCGGGCCTCCCAGAGAGGCCCCAAGCCCCAGGACCAAGGACGGCCCAAGAGGCCCCCAAGGAGCCCCCAGAACGCGAGAGGACGGCCCAAGATGCTCCCAAGCAGCCCAAGACAGACTGCCGACGGCTCTCCAGGCTCCCAGGAAGTCTCCAAGAGGCCCCAAGACAGTTCCGAGAGGCGTCCCGGGAGCGCCCGAAGAGGCCAAAGGCGTTGATGTTAATTTGTTATGTGGGTGTTGCTTAGCCTTCTCGCGTCTTCGAGCTTCAACGCTCCAAGGCGGCCGAGCAAGGCCCCCAAGACCGCCCCAAAACTGCCCAGGAGCCCCCAAGACAGCTCCAAGACGGGCCAAGAAGACCCCAAGACGGCCCAAAAGCGCCCCGAGGCAGCCCAAGGGAGCCCCAACGTCGACGTGCATCTCTGTTGCATCGCCGATGCATCGCCGATAAATCAGCGATTCGGCGCGATCCTCCGACCCCACCTACTCCGACCCCATCTGGGAGGCCCCTAATGTTCGGAGGCCCCACTTGAAAAATTAGCCTGGTGAAGGACCCAACAATATGCAGTTGTGAGTACCGAAATTGTGAATACCTTCTTCGGTGGCGCTCCCTATGGGGCCACGAACCCTGTGAGGGGTGTGCCGAAATGGGTGCGGCGGACGCGTGCGGACGGTGGCACTGGGGCCTTCGGTGAAGCTCCCTCTGGGGCCACGAAACGTATGGGAGGGTGCCGAAATGGGTGCGGGGGACGAATGTGGACGGTGGCACTGGGGCCATCTGCGGAGCTTCCTATGGGGTCCCGAAGCGTGTGAGTTTGTGCCGAAATGGGTGTGGGGGGCGCATGTGGACGGTGGCACTGGGGCCGTCGGTGGAGCTCCCTATGGGGCCACGGAACGTGCGAGGGGTGTGCCAGAATGGGTGTGGGGGACGGACGTGGACGGTGGCCCTGGAGCTTTCGGTGGAGCTCCCTATGTGGCCACGAAGCGTGCGAGGGGGTGCCGAAATTGGTGTGGGGGACGCATGTGGACGGTGGTACTGGGGCCTTCGGTGGAGCTCCCTATGGGGGCCACGAAGCGTGTGAGGGGGTGTGTCGAAATGGGTGTGGGGGACGCATGTGGACGGTGGCACTGGGGCCTTTGGTTGAGTTCCCAGTGGGGCCACGAAGCGTGTGAGGGGTGTGCCGAAATGGGTTTAGGGGGACGCATGTGGACGGTGGCACTGGGGCCTTCGGTGGAGCTCCCTATGGTGCAACGAAACTTGTGAGGGGTGTGCGGGCCACGAAACGTGTGAGGGGGGTGCCGAAATGGGTGTGGGGGACGCATGCGGACGGTGGCACTGGGGCCTTCGGTGGAGCTCCCTATGGGGCCACGACACGTGTGAGGGGTGTGCCGAAGTGGGTGCGGGGGACGCATGTGGACGGTGGTACTGGGTCCTTCGGTGGAGTTCCTTATGGGCAATTGGGGCCACGAGACGTGTGTGGGGGTGTGCCGAAATGGGTGTGGGTGACGCATGTGGACGGTGGTACTGGGTATTCGGTGGAGCTCCCTATGGGGTCACGAAGCGTGTGAGGAGTTATGGGTGCGGGGGGCGCATGTAGACGGTGGCACTGGGGTCTTCGGTGGAGCTCCTTTTGTGGACACGAAACGTGTGAGGGGTGTGTCGAATTGGATGTGGGGGGCGCATGTGGACGGTGGCACTGGGGCCTTCGGTGGAGCTCCTTATGTGGCCACGAAGCGTGTGAGGGGTGTGCCGAAATGGGTGCGAGGGACGCATGTGGACGGTGGTACTGGGGCCTTCGGTGGAGCTCCCTATGTGGCCACGAAGCGTGTGAGGGGTGTGGGACGCATGTGGACGGTGGCCATGAGCTTTCGGTGGAGCTCCCTATGGGGCCACGAAACGTGTGAGGGGATGTGTCGAAATGGGTGTGGGGGACGCATGTGGACGGTGGCACTGGGGCCTTCGGTGGAGCTCCTTATGTGGCCACGAAGCGTGTGAGGGGTGTGCCGAAACGGGAGTGGGGGGGGGGGGCGCATGTGGACGGTGGCCATGAGCTTTCGGTGGAGCTCCCTATGGGGCCACGAAATGTGTGAAGGGTGTGCCGAAATGGGTGTGGGGGACGCATGTGGACGGTGGCACTGGGGCCTTCGGTGGAGCCCCCTATGGGGCCACGAAACGTGTGAGGGGTGTGCCAACATGGGTGTGGGAGACGCATGTGGACGGTGGCACGGGGAGGGGAGTGGAGGAGGAGAGGAGACGCGGGGCGCTGTCTCTTCGAAGCGAAGACCCAACACAACAGCATGGTTGGGGACAACGGAAGTCCAGTGTGTATTCCCAATCTCCTTGTGGTGTTGTAGGTCTTTGTTTTGCAGAGACTGTCCACGCAATCACTCCTCCTCCTCCTCCTCCTCCTCCCGCTGCCCTCTCCCGCCTCCTCCCATCATCAGTATCGTCATCATCGACACCATCATCATCACCATCATCATCATCATCATCATTATCATCATCATCATCATCATCATCAGCATCATCATCATCATCATCATCATCATCATCATCATCATAATCGTCATCATCATCAACATCATCATCAGCATCATCATCATCATTATCAGCATCATCATCATCATCATTGGCATCATCATTGGCATCATCATCATCAGCATCATCATCATCAGCATCATTATCAGTAGCATCATCACCATCATCATCATCACCATCATCATCATCATCATCATCCCCATCATTAGCATCATCATCAGCAACATCATCGTCATCATCGTCATCATCAGCATCGTCGTCAGCATCATCAGCATCATAGTAATCATCATCATCAGCATCATCATCATCGTCATCATCATCAGCATCAGCATCATCATCATCATCATCATCATCATCATCATCATCAGCATCATCATCACCATCGCCATCGCCATCATCATCGCCGTTATCGTCACCATCATCGACACCAATTTCGGCACACCCCTGACACGCATCGTGGCCCCATATGGAGCTCCACCGAAGGCCCCAGTGCCACCGTCCACATGCGTCCCCCACACCCATTTCGGCACACCCCTCACGCGGTTCGTGGCCCCATTGGGAGCTCCACCGAAGGCCCCAGTGCCACCGTCCAGCTGCGTCCCCCCCACTCCCGTTTCGGCACACCCCTCACACGTTTCGTAGTAAGGAAGATTGGAAAGAGCGTGTTCTACCGCTGCTGGCGGAAAACCGGGGGGGGTCACTACCGGTTCGAACCCCCCCCCCCCCCCCCCCCCCCCCATCCGGAAAACCGGGGGGTCACTACCGGTTCGAACCCCTCCCCCCCCCCCCCAGCTCATCATGAAAAGGGGGGGGGGTCACTACCGGTTCGAACCCCCCCCCCCCCCTCGAAAACCGAGTGGGGGTGCGGACAGTGGTGGGGACGGTGTTGGTGGGGACAGTGGTGAGGGGACAGCGGGACAGTGGTGGGGACAGTGGGGGGACAGTGGGACAGTGGTGGGGACGGTAGTGGTGGGGACAGTGGTGAGGGGATAGCGGGACAGTGGTGGGGACAGTGGGACAGTGGGACAGCGGTGGGGACGGTAGTGGTGGGGACAGTGGTGGGGACAATGGTGGGAACAGGGGGGGACAGTGGACAGTGGTGGTGACGGTGGTGGTGGGGACAGTGGTGTGGGGACAATGGGAATGAGGTGGAAACAGTGGGACAGTGGAGGGTACAATGGTGGTGGGGACAGTGGTGAAGGCGGTGGCGAGGACGGCGGTGGGACAATGGGACAGAGGTACAGTGGGGACAGTGGTGGGGACAGTGGGGACAGTGGTGGGAACAGTGGGACAGCTCAGTGGGACAGCGGAGGAGTCAGTGGGACAGTGGGGACAGTGGGGATAGTCGGGCAGTGGTTGGGGCCGTGGAGACAGTGGGGAGAGTGGAACCGTGGTGGGAACAGTTCTGGGGACAGCGGGGACAGTGCGACAGTGGTGGGGCCACTGGTGGGGACAGTAGGGGCGGTGGTGGAACCAGTGGGGACAGCGGTGGTGAGGACAGTGGTGCTGGGAACACCAGTGGGGGATGTGATGCGGACGGTGGTGGGGACCGGGAGTCGTTTGCTGGCGGTGAGTAGGGGGGGGGGGGAAAGGGGAAGGGGGGGTGCGAACCGGTAGTGGCCCCCCCAGTTTTCCGGATCCGGAGGGTAGGGGGGGGGGAGGGGTTCGAAACCGGTAGTGACCCCCCCGGTTTTCGAGCGGGAGGGGGGGGGGAGGGGGGGGGGGGGTTAGGGGAGGGGGGGGGTTTTTTGCCGGGGGAGAGGGGGGGGGGGGGGGGAGGGGTTCCGGCAGGGGGGGGGGGGGGGATTTTCGGAGGGGGGGGGGGGGGAGACCCCCGGGCTCCGGAGGAAAAGGTTGGCAATTTTCCACAGTAAAGCGGCGGTGGATCACGCTCTCTCGAAGATAGAGACCCCCAAAGGCGGTCATCGAGGGTTTCGGATACACGTGTCCGATGGCAAGCGAGCAGTGAAGAACGCACTCGTAAACTGATTGTTGTTGCTGAG